AGAAAATAGAGTCACCTTCCTGGCTTTCCCGCGATCGCAAGATGTTCACGGCGTGCTCGACTCTTATTAATTAGTTTTTAAATTTAAATAATGTTTAGAAATAAAATTTTTTTTGTTTTTTGTAAAATTAATAAAAAGGTAAACGGGAAACGGGAAACAAGGCAAGAAAATGAAGATATTTTTAATTGTATTCTAAAAAGCTCGCTTAGACTAGAAATTCGGGCAAAACGCCTCGCTTCGTGCCTAAACTTTATTTTCCCCTAATTCGTTGTTGAATTTTTTTCTTTCATCATCTATAGGGGTGCTTTATTATTATTTTTTATTTTTTAAAAAAGTTTTTTATTTGACTTTTGCATATGAACTTTTTTTTTTTAAAATTTCATTTGACTATCCATACAAAAGTTAAAAACGACTTTATCTAAGCCCTCGTTTGGTGCACATTTTTGGAAAAAGAACGTATTTTTACTGTTGATGTGATGGAGAATATGTTGTTGAAAATAAATGAAAAATTATTGATGTAATGAAAAATATTATTTTATTGAAAAATGTGTGGTTAAAAATAAGTAGAGAATGAGAATGAAAAAAATAACGTGTTTCAAACAGGGCCTAAATAGTTAAATAAAATTTAAGTTATGCTTCTATATGATTTTGAGAATTGTTATTTTGTTACAAATTCCAAAGTATATCTGAAATTCCTATAATTTTATTAAGTTGAAATTTGAAACTATGAAAAATATTATAATTTTTACATTTTGAAAACTTAAAAATTGTATAATTGACTAATGGTAAGAATTATTAAATAAATATAGTATTTTATAATTTTAGATATTTGATATGTATTATTTTAATTATTAAATGATTAAAATAATATTAAAAATAAGAAAATATTTTTTTCGCCTAAACTAGCTTAACATCGTAAAGTTTGAAGCTTAACTACTACGCCTATGCTTTACGCTTTTTAGAACTGATTTTTAATCCCAAACATGACCTCACCTCCTGGTCAATCTCCAATGTGGTGGTCTGGTGGAGGTGGGAGGGTCCCGCACTGTCACCCTTATCCTTACCCTTTCAATGACTTTGAAAATCACGGGTTCATCTTTAAAAAATTACGACAAGGTAATGAGAATTCAATAAAAAGGATCATAAATAATTAAAATCCTCGACCTTTGATACATGACATCTTGATCTCCAGCCTACTAGCCCCCGTTTGAAAGCTATTATTTGGGAAAATAATATTTTAAATAGTGTTTTTTAGGAGAACGTGTGATTAAAAAGTTGAAAAAAAAAATTTGAATTTACTTGCAGAATATTTTATTAGGTAAATGAGTGGTTGAAAATAAGTATACAGAAACAAGAGTTTTTAAATAATGATCATCAATGAGACGGGGATTACAAATTGAAAAAAACTCGCAATTCAATACCTACGAGTCCCCTCAAATGGGACGGGGATTACAAGCCTAACCAGATAAACAAAGTTAAGATGGGACAAGAATCATTGTCCCGAAGCGGGTACGAGACAAGTACAGGAAATATAGTCCCCTCTTTCATTTAAAGTTAATTTCAAACATAAATTTTTTATCAAACAAAAATAAAAAAAATATCATAATTTTTAAAGAGAACATAAATTATTCTTACAAATTGAAAAAAAAATATTTATTAACTAAAGACATAAAAGATAAAATAAAATAAATAAAAAAACAAGAAAATAAACGAGGTAATAAATGGGGCGGGGGACATGCCCAAATCTCACCCCGTCCCCGCTTTATTCTGGTATGGGGAAGGGAGAATGTAACAAAAATACTCGATGAGACGGGATTGGAATAACCGACCAATCTCATACCTCCCCGTTGCCATCCATATTGAAAATCGTTAATTTAATGGTCAAAATATCATATTGTTTTAAAATGGCTATAATATAGTCTCCTTACTATTAAGTTCATGTTTGGTGATGGTTAAAATCAGATTTTTAATAAATTTTGATAAAGGATGATAAATTGTGTGATTGAAAAATCGTGAATCATTGAAATATATGGTTTAAATTAATTATTTAATTTGACTTACATTAAAATTTTAATTTTAATTTTCATTTTTTCGAAACAAGAGCTAAATCATCTTCAAACTGTTGGCTTTCAATTGAAGCACCTTGAGAAGCTACGACTTCTTGATTTCTACTCTACATGAGTAGTTCATAACAAATAACTTTTAATTGAATTTATTCTTTCAATTAATATTTTTTCATATCTCCTATTTTGTCAAAAAAAAATAAAAAATCGAATATACATATAAAAAGAAATTTAATTCAATGCCCCATTCAAGTATTTCTTAAAAAAATTATCCCTAAAAGCACTGGTGTCAATGCTTAAGAAATACTTTTATGCCAGAGGACAAATCTCTCAATCTCGAAGGTGGAGTAATCAACGCTACAATATTATTAGAACAAGGTACTGTGTTGCCACCTAGATTGGTACTAATATGATTCAAAAGTATTGTATAAAATTGATATTTGTTAGTGATTTGGATGAGTTGTAACTTAATTTTGTGTTAATTATGTTTGTTATGTTGAACTCAATGCAAATTGGTGATTTTGGAAGAAATGAACGAAAAACGTGCGAAGACGAAAGTTTAGGGGGACCAAAGTGTATACATCCAATAGTTGATTCAGAGCACAAAACGATGATTGAAGATCATATATGATCAATTGGATGCAACTGGAGGTCAAATGAATGTATAATGGAAGTATTTTTACAAATCAATTTCCAGTTGAAGAAGTTATGCTATGAATTTTTAATTTCAACTCGAGACCCATTTTTCAGATAGCAAATGTTCAAATTTAAAAACTTGTATTTCTAGAAGAATTGTAACCTTTCGAATTATCTTTCCAACTCATTTTGAATCAGTTCAATCGAATATAGTAGAAAATGTTATGACAAAAATACCGAAAACTGTTCAGGGACAAACATGCGCGCGTGGGGCAATTCATGACGCGCACATGGAACCTTGTTTTCTCCAACCCGAGAGCCATTTGGTTCTATGGCGCGCACGGTAGTTATATTGGTGCGCGCTCGAGCCTTTTCCGCAAACAAATCTTTTGTTTTCTCTCGCGATTCAAACTCTTTTGAAAATCAAATTGGACGAGATTTTAACCTATTTTCTAGCTCTTATTAATAGAGAACAAGGGCTACACATAGAGAAAAAAAACCTCTCTTGCCACAATAATATTATCAAATTCATCAAGAAAAAAGGAGCAATTACTATATTTTGAGATATGAGATCAAGCCCTAGTAAGGAATTGAAGGTTAATTATATCAAAATTTTGAATAATTCATCATTAGGCTTGAAGATATTTCATGATCCGGGTGATATTTTTTTTTTTGTAATTTATATATTAACATGCTATGCTAGATCATTTTTTGTATTGGATGAAGGTGAACTATATTGTTTATTTGTTTTAATTCAAAACTAGTAGTTTAATTTATTTCTTGCGTTTCTTGATTAATTTTGTATATTCATTGCATTATTTAATTGATTGGCCATCAATTAAATAATTAATTGCTTGTTGTAGTGTTGGGAAACTCATAATAAATTTAGAATGCACAAAATTAATATATGTGCAATAGATGTTAGGAATACATGTGCAATTATATAGATAATCTAAACTTTAATGCATTCTAATCATTCGAATTCGGGTTAGGAATATATTCGAGTCGTGGTTAGAATATATTTAATTTGTCTTGGAAAAGAAAATTATACGCATGAACAGAACTATATTACAAATCAGAGCAATGCTACATTGCTCAAGTTGGATGACAAAATGGGGAGTGCCACCTCACTTGGGCACTCTCCCCTTTTGTAAGGCTATTTGGGCAAAGTAGTATTACACTACAAATTAAGAATTGAAATAGATAGCAATAGACGGATTCGAGATCCAATACAATCACCCATAAATTAATAAAAATAACATTTTTATCGCTTTCTTAGATTAATTTAACATGAAACAAAATCAAATTCTCTTTTGTTTATATAATTTGAATCCCATAAAAAGTTAGTAAACTTAAATTGAATTTATTCTTTGTACGATGATACTCTCAACTCATCAATTCTATTACTTATCAATGATCTCGCATGCTTGCGGGTTTCGCACGAACAAAATTTTTTCAATACCAAGGTCTAGTTAAAGTTGTACGAGGAAAGTCTCACCAAATCATTAACTAGGGTTCGAAAAACATGGCACCATTCTTCTCCAACGAGCTCTTCTTTTTTGCTTTATACTCTAAAATTCTGTGGCCACGCAAGATAGCATGTGATGCAAGTGCAGGTATGGAAATAATTATTATATTTTTATCATATATTAATAAAAGTTGATAAAATGCGTGGTTTAAAAAGTATATTAAAGTTATGAGTTCCATGAATATGTGGAGATTCCTATTCGAAGAGTACATAACCGCATTAATAAGCTCACACTAACTCGTCAATTGGGATCCATTCAATAAGTGAAGAATTTTTTTTTTTGTCATGGTCTCAATTCATACTAAACAAGTCAAAACTAATTGAATATATGTCTTAGAAATTTCGCGAATTGGTTTGCCATTTCCATAAAAGATATAATTGACAACTCGAAGTTGCACATTATCCCTTTCTACAAACCGAACATGAGAGTTTCTTCTCATCCAGCTCCTCACGAGTAAAAAGATTAAAAATATTTGAAACAATGACAAGGCACAATAGGCATTATTAGGTTCAATTTTTAGAATGTGACGCAACACCGCGAACATTTATAACAAAATCACAATAGGAAACATAGGTAACAATCAAGAAATCGCATATTATATATCAAAGTACGAAATACAAACTACTTTCTACAGTAAGTGCTTCATTAGACCGCCTATGCAAAAGATCGAAATACATGCCATCGGAAAGGTAAGTTATCACTATGAGTGAACGAACATCGAAAAAGTAGAGTCAACCTTTCCAGCAAATACAATCCTACTCGGTATTTAGCATCAACAGCTAAAGCCCCCACACGCAGACAAAACGATGATGAGAATCACAGCTATGATGATAGCCAACACAATCAATTTAATCTTCATATTTTGAACCCACATTTTTCTCCTCAGTTGCGTCCCCGTTGTCCTATAAGAGTCTGCCTGAAACCTCGACCAAAACAGACAACAAAAACCGAATTTCAGAGCGAAAAGTATGAGTCCATACGCCATACCAGATTTCTTCTAAACAAAATTTTCTGATGTATTTAGAGTAATTGTCATGCAGTTCAAACACTCGAGAATTTAGATCTCTTAAGACTAACCTGTTCCCTGAGATGCTCAGTTTTATCGACCAAAATCTCAATCTTTTCTCCACGCTCAAGAACCTGTATAGAAACGAATATAGTTAAACAAGCAACAAGCTCGGATAGGCGACAAGAATAACACTACTTTGTAGTGACGGGATTTTGAATACTTCTGTACCTTCTCAATATTTTCCATCATTACTCCCTTAACTTCGGAAACTTGAGCATTGACTTTAGCGAGTTTACTAATTTCTTCAGGATGATCAATGCAGTACTGCATTTGCTCTTTCAATTTCGGCCTATAATAGCAACAGTTGTTAGGCAAAGGTCACGAAATTGGGAGCAATATCTAAAAAATGAAAAGGCAGTTACCCAAATTCCTTGTTCAGACTATGGGCACTTGCAGTTGCAGCTTTCCCCACTCCATATCTCTTGTTAAAATCATCCTTAACACGCTCTAGAAAGGCGATGGGAATTTGTCGCCCAGCAGATTCAACAGCAACAACGCAATAGGCTACAAAAATCCGAAAAAAAAAGTATATAATTTGATCAATGAATTTCAAAATTAGAAAGCATTCACTTATGGTGATCTAAACTGGAAATATCTTCTACAACTTAATCATCCAATTATCCAAATAAATTCCACTCAACATTCAAAGAAATAATGTACAGTGGGAAAAAGTAGAATTTGCCATCTGAATTCACAAAAAGGATTAACTTGCAAAGGATACGCCACGAAAAAGGATATCTTCGCAAGAGAATAACTGTATAAAGTCTGAGAAATTAATCTACAAAATACCACTTGTCAATATATTGAGACTGCAAAAAGAACTAAACTACTATCCGAAAAGGTACCAGCAGACAAGATGCAGGCATCAAACAAGAAAAGAACTTTTTTTTTTCTCTGAGCTCTCAAAAAGGAAGGTGCTAAATCTCGAAAAAACTAGTAAGCAAAGCAAATTGATTGAACAGAGTTAAAAAGAATCCAAGAAAAAAATAGAAAAGAAAATGTTAATACAATGATAAACTTTTGAAACAAGGCAATAAACTTCAAAACATCAAGAGTATGAACTACACACTGTAGATGAGATATTTCTATGTGGCTCAACTAGGCAGTTCACTTCACAGCATGGCTAGAAGATGCCAGATGTCTAAAAAATAAAAATAACATGGAACCAATTCTGCACCAAAACAACAATAAAATGGAGCCTTATTCTCGATAAATTTGAAGTCGCTACATAAATCATGTTTTACGGTTCAGTTCAGCTAGATCAGTAATCTACTGGAAGATCTAAAACAACTAGATTTTAGGAACCATAAGATACTGCACTAGTTTTAGTTTAACTTGTAGAGCAAAATTGTCCATCTCACAAATTATCTTCAATCAATGTCACCTCCACTCGTCAGCATATTTTCTTATTTCTCAGTTTGGCCGCGATTCCTTACGCCCCTTAAAAAATACCGTCAGGCACTAAACTGTTTGCATTCAAATCCATATTTATACGCCATTCACGCAGATATATAAGCAAGCAATAAATATACATCAAACCATACAATCGTAGTACTCAAAGGTCAAGTTAAAATCAAATCAAAATGGGCACATTCAAACCAATGAAAAAAAGTAAAATTAAAATTAAGAACCCACAAAAATTAAAACAATTTCTAAGAGATAGTGTACATACTGAATCCATTTTCAGCGAGGAAATTGAAGGTGTGACCATCGCCGTTGTAAGTAAACTTGTTGTTTGAAGCAGGCAGCTTTTGCAGGCATTCAAAGGCTATTCTTGTGAAATTCCCCGTGAATTCTGTATATTCAGCTAAAATTACTGTGCCCCTTGCAACGAAGCTGTAGATCAATGACTGCTGACCCATAATAATTTGATTTTCTCTATTGAATTCGATCTATCTGATTCAAGAAACAAAACCCAGAACCCAAAATGAAACAAGAATATTGAAGCAGAAAACTCAAAAGGAAATTTTGGTTTTTGCTGACGAGAGTCGAGGAAATGGGAGAGAGATACAGGGAGCCTTCATTTAATATCAAGTTGAAAACCGCGGGTGGAAGGAGTGATCTCCTGCAACTGTATTTCCTGCAATCGGAAAATGTTGAAAACTTCTCTGCAACAAAACGTTGTACCATTGCAATTAGTTTATAAGATAATAGTACTCTTCATGCTTCATGAAAATTAGATAAAAAATAATCATTTGTTGCTTATTAGAGTGAACGTTATGAACTTGGGATGGCAAAACGGTCTGACTCGACCTTACCTCGCAAAATTCTAGGCTGGACACATGTTGCTCTTCCACCCCGTCGGTCGCCATTCAGTCTGGTACATGTATACTTACAATTTAACTAATTTCGTTCACTAACTAAACCTTTTTGCATGAAGATTTATTTAATTTTTTGTTTAGTCGAAAAAAAAGGGCCTAAAGCATGGTGTCCGTTTAGTAAAAACAAGTTATAATTAAATAACGATATCTGAAAATATATCTTGAAAATTTATTTTTTATAAAAACTGATAAGAATAGACGATTTACCACGGGAGAAGTGTTTTGTAAATACAAATTTCACATTCAAATCGGGTAAATGAATTTTGGCGAAGTCGAATATGTTGTACAGAGAGTCAATTCTAAGGGCTCAAGTCAAAAGTACAATACTTCTTAAGCAGGCATTTGTACACCCGTAGCAGAGGATCAAGCCTCTTGGTGACGCTTGCTGTTATATTTGAATATAGATGAGGAAGGAAGAATTTGATTAAATCGTTGATGTTTGTATAAGAAAAATAAGATTGGAATTAGTCTTTACGGATTGGAAGATTCTATTTTGAATTTTGGACTTTATTGTACACCGTTCCTTATTGTACATTTCAACTTATGGCACACTGTAGAAGGTTCTCTTCTAGAAAAGAAAAAGGAAATATAACTATTTTAATAAGTTTTTCTTTGAGTGGAAAAGAAATTTCGAGTTGAGCACTCAACTTTAATATGTTCCAAGTTGATCACTCAATTTGCAATTGATCTCTCTATCGTAGAATTTATGCTCAAATGAGGTTGTGAATAGAACTTCTAGCACTACAATTATGGCCGTCAAAAAGTCCAAGTTAACAAGCTTCACGAGTTGTTAACATTTTTTTTCGTAAAAATTGCTTTTTAGCATGTGTATTGAAAATTCCAAAGCTAGAGTTACGAAGGATGAATAAAATCGAATCAACAACATATCACTGTAATTAAAAATCAACCTTGTAGACCTCGACGAAAACAACTCAGGAAGGAAGAAGAATAGCAAAGAGGAAATTACATTGAGACAGGTGTTTAAAGTTTCAAATTAAAAAATTAGGGACTAAATTTCATTCTTAAAAAATCAGGTGATATATAAGAAACCTATCCCTAATTTTTCACTCTCCACCCCCTCTCCTCTCCCATCTCTTTCATCGCAGCAGTGGGGAGGGGTTTTTGGGGGTTTTTTTTGAGTCAATCGTCGACTTGTGCCAATTGGTATCGATGCTGCACCACCACACAACTGCCTTCTGCAGGTAATGGTTTTGGGGTTTTTTGGTTGGGTTGTGGTGTGGTGCAGGTGACGATTGTGTGGGATATACGATAATCCTAATACATGTATATATGTAAATATGAACAAGGAGTCCGACCATTAATATTATATCTAATATGTGATAATACTAATATATGTATAATAAATCTACTCCTAATATGTGTACAAAAAAGAAGTTATAGTAAATGTTAACTAGGAGCCTTATCGTAATGCGTGATCCTCTTCTCCAGCCCAGTTCCTGAGGGGTTGCTCAATTGGTCAGACCTTGTGTTTGCCCTTCAATGGTCACCAGTTCGAGCTCCCTCAGGGCCACTGAGGTGAGTACCCGGCCGTAAACTTCAGGTCCCGTGAAATTAGTCGAGGTGCGCGCAAGCTGCCCCGGACATCCACGGTTATAAAAAAAAAAAAAAAATTTTACTCGTGATACAATATACGATAATCCCGTACAAATATACTAGCAAATGTCAACTCAGAATCTAATAGTACTAGTGGTACAATACACGTTAATCAATCTACGTATAATCAAGAAAAGTTTGAGCAAATGTCAACTCGAAGTCTTTTTACTGATACCACTCGATAATCATAATACATGTACAATACCAAAGTTCTAGCAAATGTCAACTAGGAACCTTTTCACTAATTTTACAAGAGATAAGTTTAATTCATACATAAAAAGTTCTAGCAACCGTCGCCCTCTTGTAATATATTGTAAGCCTCGACAAATGTATTAAAAGCTCTCAAATTCCATGGAAAACAAGAACATATAGCACGGAGTACAGGAATCTAGGGAGATCAGGCCTCAAAGTCTCGCAACTTTCATAAGGTGCAGGGGTCGCCTTCGGCAATCAAATGGGCGTCAATGATGCCAAATCCATCCTCCAATGCTGCCGTGAGTGACAATGGCGTGAATTTCTTCGATAATGCCGAGGTCTACGCCAATGGCCAAGCCGAGGAGATCATGGGACAGGCGATTAAGGAACTGGGCTGGAGAAGATCCGACCTCCTGATTTCTACCAAGATTTTCTGGGGCGAAGGATCGGGTCCAAACGACAAGGGTTTATCGACAAAACACATTGTGGAAAGAACTAAGAATTCACTCAAAAGAGTGGATATGGATTATGTAGATGTGATTTATTGTCGTAGGTCCTGATTTGTGTACTCCAATTGAGGAGACTGTGAGGGCTATGAACTATGTGATTGATAAGGGATGGGCATTTTATTGGGGTACTAGTGAATGTTCTGCTCAGCAGATTACTGAGGCTTGGGCCGTGGCTGAGAGATTGGATCTTGTGGGTCCCATTGTTGAGCAGCCTGAGTATAATCTATTCACCAGGCAAAAGGTAATGAAAACAACTGATAAATTCAACGTTGGTTGCTATTTATTGGTTTTTTTTGGCGAGCTTTGTTGGTTGCGTAGAGCTTAATATATTGTACAATTTTCCTTTTCCCTTATAAAGGTATTATGGCGAGTTTGCGTTCTGTGTGCCATAGTAGAGAGAACAGACTTCTTCCATATGGTGCAATTCTACAGTAGCTCTCACCTTGAGAGTAAATCGCCATAAATAGTGTGTTTTTCTTGCTTTTGTTTGTCCTATTAACAACTCCAACCCCTTAAGTATTTAATTCATAAGATATTCGTAAAATCCCGGTGAGGTAGCTGCTAGAACCTCAATCCGAATGCATTTATTTAGCAAATCATCACCTAAAGTGTGCAGAAGCAAGTTTCTTTTTTGTGTATTACTCGTATTTCCTCCTATTACTACCTCGATGATATTTCAATCCCGAAGTATGTGGGAACTGCAGGTCGAGTTGGATTATCTCCCTCTTTACAACAAATATGGTCTTGGTCTTACCACATGGAGTCCGCTTGCATCCGGCTTCTTGACCGGGAAGTATAACTCGGGAAATATTCCATCTGATAGTAGGTTTGCCTTGGAAAATTATAAGGTAAACTAAAACTAGAAGTCCATATTTTGGTTATTTTTGAGCATAAATCTTGCCATATTTTGACACTGATTTCTCAAAAGAGTCATGTAGATAGTTGGAACTTGTGTTTTAGATTGTTCAAATGCCTATTTGGTGTAAACAGGGATTAGTCGAGGTGCGCGCAACNTTACTGCTTAAAATAGTGTGCACGCCCAAACTTTTTAAACACATTATCACTAGAGAATTAGTGAAAGTCATATAAGCGTGAAAGTATATCTTCTTTAGTAATGATTCTTGGCCCAAACATTAATATATGTAATTCTTGTAACTCACAAAATCTTTATCCATCAATGAATTAATGTGGCAACTCATCGGTGCTTAGGATAAGATGAGCACCGGTGCTCATTAGATCATTTCTGTATATATATATATATATATAGTTGTCGGTTGGCTTTGTATATACTGCAATAATTTTGAAAGATTATTTGGCTCTGAGGAAGATAATTGCAAGCCTCCCGCAGCTTTGTGAACCGGCTAAGATCCATACTGAATCAGTTTCAGTTGCTGAGAAAGCTAAGGCTGATGCCATTTCTGCTGTGAATTGTGATTGATCGACGGGATGTTCCTAATCGGGACACCCCTCTTCACTTGGCTGTAAAGTTTGGTGATGACACTGTAACCGAGATGCTTATGCTTGCCGGGGAAGATTGGAGCTTGCAGAATGAACAGGGATGGAGTGCACTTCAGGAAGCAATTTGCAATAGGGAAGAAAGGATTGCGAAGATTATAGTTTGGCATTACCAGCCATTGGCTTGGGCAAAATGGTGCAGAAAGTTGCCTCGGTTAATTGGGACAATGAGAAGGATGAGGGATTTTTACATGGAGATCAGTTTTCATTTTGACAGCTCAGTCATCCCTTTCATCTCGAGAAGAATTGCCCCTTCTGACACGTACAAAATTTGGAAAAGGCATGCCAATTTGAGGGCAGATATGACTCTGGCTGGTTTCGATGGTTTCAGAATTCAGCGTTCGGATCAGAGAGTTCTTTTCCTCGGTGATGGTTCTGTGGATGGAAAAGTTCCTCCAGGGTCACTTTGTATGGTGTCACACAAAGATAAGGAGGTCATGAATGCTTTGAATGGTGCTGGAGCTCCAGCAACTGAGGCAGAAGTGCAGCAGGCAGTGATTTCCATGTCTCAAACCAATATATTCAGGCCTGGGATTGATGTCACTCAAGCAGTTCTTTTGCCTCAAATGACATGGCGGCGACGGGAAAAGATGGAAATGATGGGTTCCTGGAAAGCAAAAGTTTATGATATGCATAATGTTGTTGCAACTATTAAATCAAGGAGGGTTCCTGGAGCCATGACGGATGATGAGTTCTTTAACTCTTCCAATGTAAATGAAGCAGAGAGTGAGGAATTCGATGTATATTGACAGAGGAAGAGAGAAAGCAGCTTGAGATTGCACTTAAGTTAGACTCATCAGATTTAAGCAATGAAAATGGTAATGGAATGATCGCACACTGCCATAGTTGTTATGAACAAAGGGATATTCCCATTGAAAATATAAATGGTTGTAGAAATGGAGAAAGTAGGCAGGAAAAAAAAGGCTGGTTCAACAACTGGAGGAAACGGGAAAATAAACAAGAAGGGGATATAAAGATTGCTCCACCAAGGAATTCTCTATACTCTGAAGAGAAGGTTAGTGATTTTCTAGAGGATTCTCCTTCTAGAAGTCTAAATAAACCTAGAAGGCACTCAGTGGAGGTGGTTGTGAAGCGGGACGAGCATCGGAAAGTAAAGGAATCCAAAGCTTCTTCATCAATAAATTCTGATAGTGGAAATCGCCTCAAGGATGGAAGCCTTGACAATGAGTATAAGAAAGGGTTGAGGCCAGTTCTCTGGCTTTCTCCAGAATTCCCACTACAAACTGAAGAGCTTCTACTGCTCGACGTTTTGGCTAACAAAGTTAAAGCTATACGGCGAGTAAGAGAATTACTCACTTCAAAACTTCCAAAGGGGACCTTCCCTGTCAAGGTACCCTCCTTATTTCTATATTAGCCTTTTAAATTCTACACATGCTTATAGCTTTATATGGTTTGGTTGATCAGGGCTCTTAGCATGTAAGCTTTAATTTATGATCTTAATCTTGGGTGCTTTCTTTATCTTTTTCTGTGTATATAATCATAGACTTCACATTGGGATTATGCTTCTCTCCTTGACTGGATATGTTGTATCAACAAATCCGAGTAAAGTAGAATTGGTTATGTAATTCTACTTTTTCGTCAACACACTAACTAGAAATAAGCCTTTTTGAAGAGCCTTTTGCATTATGGATGTTGGATGTTTCCAAAGTTGTGCACATCGCCATTTAAATTGTAGGCATTGCTTCAATATATGTAAACAACGCTGGAGATTGCCAATTTGATACAATCAAATGTTTGGACTTTTTTCTGCCTAAAGAATTGGAACCTTAAGATTGTGCATGCATGTGTTTATTTGTTCATTTCTCTAAATGCATGTGGTGATTGTATTTCCTTTATCTGTAGAACTGATAATTTTTCTTCCTCTCATTTGGTGGATTTTGAGTATTTCCTTGTGGTATTTTGGTGATTATCATTGTTTTGGTGAATAGCGACTATTACAAGTAATTGTAGGTAGTGAAATTTGATGAACGGTGTGCTGATGTGATAGAGGTGATATATGAGTGAGCCAGTAGGATGGGAGAGTTTCTTTGAAGTAGATTTAAAGTTTCAGATTGGGTGGCATTGCCCATTGTGGGTATGTATTTGTCTGAAAGAATTTCTTGGATTTATACATTTTCAGTTAAAATCACTGCAAAGCTTTAGATGTTTACAAAAGAGGCCTTTTTAAGCTATGAATTTTTGTGTAGTGGTCTTTTTTTTTTGCCTTATGATAATTGGGACGGGTAAATTTTGAAGACGCAGTCCGCACTTAAGGGAATGAACAATACATGGGAAAATGCTAAATACTTGTCTTTTACCAATTTTTGGGACAATCAAGTGTGGTATGGTTGGCCATCGAAGTTGGAACAATCTTGTCTGGAGGATAAGAATGATGAATTTTGCTACTTTTGGATTACAGGAGACATATTAAACTTGAAATTCTTAACTTTGAATAATTTTTGCAGTGATTACCCTCAAGTTTCCTTTTCCTTGTAGTTGAGAAACATTGTTGAGTGTGTTAATGATTATACCATTCCCTTGACCTATACTGACAAGAATTTGAACAAAAAGCTGCCAAATTGGCCTATTACTTACTTTCTTCCAACCAAATTTTCTTATGTTCTTCCCAGATGAAGTCACTGAATGCTTAGAGAAAGAGATATAATTAGGAATAAGAAAGCTAGTTGAAGATTTTCTTTCAGAACTCCTTTTTCAATGTGAAATAGCATTGCTAGTTTGGAGAAGTGACATTTGTAATCATTAAATATCTATTCTTCTTTAACTTTGATTCGTTCTTCAGCATTGATGGTTTAAAATGTTGTATATGACACATGAGCCCGTTATTTAAGAAAACCTTGAGGCTTACACCTCGTTTTCCGCCTCACCCGAGCTTTCATGAAAAGCCTCAAAGCTTATGCCTTGAGTGCCATTCGTAAGGCTTATCTCTCGATTTATTGAGCGACCAAGGTGTTTGCCTGTTTTGTCTTGCCTTTCCTGAATATTTTATTACTGGACTTGACTTTTTGGGCTATATTTTAATACCTATGTTGTTTTAAGTTTTTTTCTTCTCATATTTTTCCTTCATATGAAAGAGAGGGGAAAGAAGACACCATTCAGGGGGAGTGCGACATGGGGGAATTGCACTTGTTGATAATTCCCTGTAAGATTCTGTTAGCAGTGATTATATAAGAGACTTTTAGGTTGTTTATACCTCTATTAATAGATCACAAGTTTGTTATGTGATTACTAATTCGATAACTTATTATTTGCTACGTCGTTAATCCAATTTATGTGTTTTTGGAAGTTACACTTTTTAAGATGGATATTTATTGTGGATTGTGATTTATTAAGAGAGTATTTTGTATTTTTATATTTTTCTGAATTATTTTATTGGTTGTTTTGAGGCTTATGTCTGAAAATGCCTTGAGGCTCTCACCTCAACTCACATTGGTAAAATACCTCATTACCCGATTGAGCCTTTTTAAATGTTACGAGTCTATTGTTTGTGACAATTAGGAGCATCCTNGTCTAGCTAAGGCAGTATATAAGTGAGAAAATCTTGTTTGGCACCATGAGGCGAGTTTTGTTGGAGCTAAGTGTCACTTGGTTACTTAATAAGGGTCAAGGCCGTGACAATCAACTGTCTTAAAATCGCTCTTTATCTTCTTACCTTTAACTAAGATAGCTTTTCTTGTTTCAGGTTGCTATTCCTGTGGTCCCCACAATCAAAGTGTTGGTTACATTTACAAAGTTTGAAGAATTACAGCCATTGGACGTGTTCTCTACCCCCCTTTCAAGTCCAACTGCTGCAGGCAGAGAGAGCCCTTCAGTGATGAATCCCTCAAATTCATCTTGGTTTCGGTGGATAAAGTTCCCTTACCAACAACCGCGTTTTTCTACTGGCGGTTCAACCAATAGGATTGAAACCGTTCAACATCCATTTGCAATTCCCTCCTACTATACATGGATTACAGCTGAAGCAAAGAAAAAGAAAATGTAAGAAAAAAGCAAATTTAAGAAAGGAAAGAGTCAGTAGTGATCAGAATCTCACTTGGGTGAAGAACAAGAAATCTGGTATATCGTATTTGGGGTTAACATAATCGAAGAACTGATTCTTGCAGACTATTGTTTCCTTTTTGGGTGGATAAAATTATCCATTGTTTGATCCAAGATTAGTTACAGCCGCAGGATATTACATATTCACTTATTCTTTCATTGGTAGTTTCGGTTGATGTATGGCAAATCAAGCATTTACTTGTCAAGAAAAATGCCGAATTTAACAGTCATTTTGCTTGTTTTATATGGATCCTATATAAAATCGTTCATTTTCCTAGTGTGAAGCCTATTTGAAGGCATAGAATCTTCATTTTCCCGATAACAGAAAAATCATCTGATGGACAACTTGCTACTATTTGAAATGGATAAAATAAAACTTCGATAAATGAATGTTTGATGAATAATACATAAGTGTATCCTTCGGATTTAACATTCCTGGGGTTGGCATTACAAAATCGTCATTGAATTATACACGTACAAGAATTGCGCACTTCTCGTAGTTCCTCTTCTTCTGTAACACTGTAAAAATAACAAAACAATGAAAAAAGAAAAATACTATGCATGCTAAATGTTGTGTTTTCTTGAAGTATATTTTTGTTAGTACTCAAATGACTTGTATGACTTGTTCATAGTGTTGAACAAATTATTCGAATGTCACATACAAGGGACATGCAACTCTTCTACTTTTACTAACAAAATGTCTCACACACACACACACACACACAGAGTTTTGAGTATCATATACGGGTCAACCACTTTTTGAACCATATATCATCTAAAATGAGGATGATATACATAAAATGCCTATGTAAAGATGAAAATTAATGAAAGGATGATATTATTTTGAAATATTGTATTAATTAATATATCATATTAACATAACACTTTATTATATAACATGGAAATCGTTTAATAATAAATTTTGAAGGTGTAGAGTGTTTTAATGAATAAACATATATTAGTTTTTAAGTAAATTTTATTTGAATTGTAAAATGTAAATGTTCATAGTTAACATCTTGTTTTATAAATATGAATTTTTATTGATAAGTTTGCATTTGTCAATATTTAAATTATGGGTACATAATCTATATAATTAATTAAAAAACTTGAAATCATTTATTATCAAATTTTCCAATAAATATTAGGTTTAAGCTACCACTAGCATGCATATTCAAAATTGTATATGCACAAAGTCTTTAAGCATTAATTTCTTTTCAAGGGGAACAAATTAAATTATGACTAATTATAAAAATTTCATTTTCACAAGGTACATTTTGAGTATAACACCCTCATCTTAGATGATACATGTACTCAAAATTAGAAATATGGTACAATATTAGTGTAATTTTTAAACATGAGCGAGTGTCTCCGTCTATCTGATATTTGATAATATCAAGTTTAATGATATCTTTGATATTTTTCTCAATACGGTTTAAAGCCATTCGAATCTTCTCACAATCTAGAGATGTCAATGGTCCGATCAGCTGTCATTGCATAGAAGCGGAAGGACAAATAATTTTTAAGCTTTATAAAATATTTTTTAGTGGACTTCGGGCTTAATTAATTTGTTAATGAGTCGGTAAATCATGTAGAAGAAATGGAGATAAATATTGTACGATTTAATGGGTTAAAACTCTCGCTGTATATTCTCTCCAAAGTTCACTTGTTTATATGCAATTGCAATCTTGTTGAACACCCTAAGCTAGTGACATTGGTGGTGCAAATCAGTGACGCTTTAGAGAGAACTTTGCACAAAAATTATAATTTGAAATGTTTTATTTTCAAGCAGATTTGAACCCCTGACATCCACCGTAGGATAAACCACCACCTCTCAACCCTCTCGGTTGATTCTACAATAGAGGCCGACTATAGATAATAACTCCCCCCAACCCGAACATTTTAGGGATGGCGCTAATAACCAACAAATGTCAAGTGCTTTTCTTTTTGTGGATCTTATTTCAATGGAAACTCTTCAGTAATCAAAAATAAAAGAACATACCTCGACTCGAATTCTTGAACATCAGCAATATCTTTGCCATGTGCATCAGACCAACTAACTTTTCTAGTTCCTGTAGTTGCAGCAGCTTTCTTAAGATTACTCTTGAGAGGAACAGATGGTTCAATTTGATGAAGCCCATTTGATGCAATATTAGATGATCTTTCATTGACCCTATTTTTCTTGTCCGCAGAAGAGTGTTGTCGGCTAACGTTGTTGCTTCTACTCGTGTTAGATTCGTCCTCTTTGCTGTCTGAATTCCTTGCTGCTACATAGCATGAGCACACTAGAGAGGTGCAACGGTTATGCGCCAAGGTCGCCAGGAGTACGAAAACGAGCCTCGCCACCCGTTTTACTCTCCCGGTTTATATTATCATGAACATGGTGTTTGATCTTAGAAGAATTTGGAAAGTTTCAAGGACATTGGTAGTTATATTGGCATGTTTGGTACGTTGAAGGAGATAGAACTAGATATATCTATTCTATTTAATACTATGTATCGAACATGATCAATGAATATGTGTCATTATATTCATAGTTAAGATAGTGGTTGGAATCTTTGGTTTGTAGATTGGAAACTAAAGATGGATATGTCACGATTCAGTTATAATCATAATATCATATACTCGTGCATATCCTCCACTAAAAATTGTTTCTTTTCCTTTGGCCATTGCACTCATTATCTTGGGTGAAATTGGTAAAATAAAAAGAAAAAAAGAAGCATTGCATTCCGCTTGAAACTTCTATAATTGGTGGATTTCAAGATCGTTGTTCAATAAATTGGTAAGGTCTATGTCAAACACTAATGAACGAGTGATATAAGAAGAGACGCATCTTGTGCACTAAAACCCTACAATGGTCATCGCTCGAACTTCTTCACTAAAAAGTTGCACATAGCTCAATCACAAAATCTTGGTGATCATCTACAATGCGTAGTCATATCGCTTTGTCTTTACCATTTGCGGCGACACAAGAAAACCTGGACTTTTTATTTCAATATATATTTAATCATTGTTCTCAGTATTTTTGGGAGACGGAGGGGGGGATCTAAAAAAAAAAATTTGTTCCTTTTTTAAAAAAAAAAAAAAAAAAACATTGCTTTCTTAAAGTGAAGAGGGAAACGTACAAGGCGTGTGCGCCTTTAATCTAAAGCACTATTTTCACTCATAATTGGGTAAAGCACTATTTTCACTCATAATTGGGTGACACAATTATGTTCCTGTTTCTTTTAGTAATAAAGTTGAGAAAAATCCATTTGCTCATTTTCAACCATACATTCACACAATAAAATACTTTGTACGTAAATCCAAAATTTTTTCCTACATTTTAATTACACATCTCCAAAAAAATCGTTATTCAGATTTCCATTTTACCCAAACATACGAACAGTGGTGTAAACCGCGGCGGTCGAGCATGTCCCAGTTTTGGTTAAAATGAAGATAGAGATGTAATATGAATTAAGAAAGAACATTTGGACACATACAATGAATCTTGGTGAATTAAGAATTTTGGTGATCGACTTTCTAATAACTCGAAGGTTTTATACTATAAATGGGGATACAAATAATTAAAGTAAAAAAAAAAAAAACACATTAAAGGTCGTGTTCTAACATTTGAAAATGTCTAATTTTCCTTGTTTTTGAGGAATTTTTTTTTTTTTTTTTGAGGAATATGTTTTTGTTTTCCTCAAAATAAGGAAAACATTTTTCTTTTATATGCCAATCAAACACATCATTAGTAATTCAACGTACTCATATTCACTATTTTTATAAGTGACGTCTATACATTTTCCCTTGAAGAGGAAGTCGGTTTGAGAGACTTTTCATTGAAGTCCTTCCATGAATCAAGATAATCAAGTGTGTGCATCTTCATAATCGATTCAAAATATACTCTCAACATTACAAAAGTTTAGACAAAGTATAATAAAACTACGACGATCTTATCAAACAATAGTGGACCATAAATTTTAGAATGAATTGTAAATTGAATCTTTCGGTGCTTAGCAATCAAGGAACAAATGTAAGCTCACAATAACACAATCAACATATCCAAAAATATAAAAAACCAATATTTTATTTCAAATATCGCGAATACAAATAAATTTACTCGATGTGCAAATAGTATCTAATTGGTAGAACATAGACAATAAGAGAGAACAGTAACTTGATTGCATTTTCCTACAAATTGCAAGTCAGCAAACACTCAATAGTTCTGCTACCTCAACAAACCTGCAAACAACAAACTCTATTCAAGAGCCTGTTTGAGCCCCATTTTTTTCTATTAAAATGCATTTTGGAATATTATTTTGATGGATAATGTGTGGTTAAAAAATAGGAAAAAGTTTTGGGTTCGTGTGTATTATTATTTTATTGAAAAATGTTTGGTTGAACATAAGAGAGAAAAATGTATTTTACGAATAATAGAGCAATTCTGGATAAACCCAAATTGATTTGAGATAATAAATATTTGAATTAAAGGTGCATTTGCCATTTGTGCAGTGACAAGAAGCCACGCCTCAACTACGTTTGTTTTGCAGAATAGAAATTTATTTTTTTAAATAAGTAATTATTTTACAATTTTAATTAATACAAAAATATTTAGTCCATGTTTGATATGAATTAAAATCAAGATATTAATCTAAATCAAATTCAATAATTAATTTTAATCATACATTTTAATTTGATGGGATCCATAATTTTTCAATCACACATTCATTAACTTTTTTATCAAAATTTACAAAAAATTTAAGTTTAATTCTCACCAAACAGGAGGTCAAGTACTAAATTGTAAACAAGAAGATCACATGTATTTTGTGGTTTGGAGAAAACAATGGTTGCAAATTAAATTTAACTTAATTAGATTTTAATTTAATCAAAATCAATAATTAATTTTAATAATATATTGAGATTTATAACTTTTCGATCACACATTTAATCGATTTTATCAAA